TTGTGCATAATCTCCGAGCTGTAACTGTTGCACAATGGCCAATTTGTAGGGGTGAAAGTGGACATCCATATGCAAAATTCGTCTTACCGAACGATCACTAAGGCGAAGTGCAGCAGCATGTTTCCGGGCAGATCGAGTCGGAGTGCGAAGAAAGACCTGTCGAACGCGTTCAACATTTTCAGGAGTTCGAACTGTTAGCGGCGCTCCTCTTGGTCTTCTGTTGATCAGTTCACCACGCCTGTGAAGTGATTCAACCCAACGAAGGATGGTGTTTCGAGAGGGAACAACTCTATTCCGATGAATGTTGAAGTGGCGACGAAACTCACGCTGTACGACGATGACTGACTCATTATTTCGGACGAAACAATCACAGGCGAAAACGCGGTGCTCCATCGTCCAAGGCTCCATAACGACAACTGGTAAAATAATGCTAGGATCTCACGAGTCAAACGGCACCCTCCACACCTCTCTCGTAGACGGAGGCGGCGAGTACTGTCCATCCCAAAAACGCCCGTCATCTCTGCCGCTCCCTGTACTTGTTTGTTTTTTTTTGCGTTCAATATTTAAGTAGATTGCAATATAATGGAAGTAGAACACACAAAAAAAATTACAAATATTGTATCGCTCCGCAATGTAAACACACTAGTGTGGCCAGCCCTGATAAAATTTTTATTACTTTGCCAAGAGACATAAAAACAAGAGAATTGTGGCAGAAAGCTATGCATAGATCTGAATTTGTGAGCAATAAGTCAACAAAGTATTGCTGTGAGGATCATTTTAATGTAAGTGCTTTTATAATTATGTGATTTATATTATGATTAATGTACGTTTGAAAATGATGTGGAAAATTACATGCGTTGCAAGCTAATGAAAAATGTAAGAATCAAGATTAGACCGGGAGTGGTTCCACACATTTTTGATTGCCAAAAATAGCGAAAAGCTGCACATACCAGAGATACTCGAAGTGTTTTTCTTAAGAGAGAGCGACATCGATATTTAGAAGAAGCATCTACAAGCACGAAGAAAACTAGATTTTCATCGTCTAGCAGCGATTCTAGCATAAATGTTTCGTAAATCGGACTAGAAAGTAGTTCTAAAAATATCCAGGGGGAAGATCGGCAGATACATACAGGTAAGTATGTTCAAGTTAATATTAAGGCCGTAATGAGATCAAAATACGTTCAGTGTGATATATTAAGGGCAACACCTAAGGAAAAACAGAAGCAAATACCATAAAAAAATATAACAAGAACAAGTTATTCGCCGAGCAGTAGTTCGAGTTCAGATTATTCGACTTCATACAAACCAACATCAGATGACTCTACTTCAACGGAAACATCAGATGACTCTACTTCAACGAAAGATGCTGAAAAACAATTTAATAACAAGAAAAATGTATAAGAGCGCACTGTTTTTAGAAAAAATCTCAAAATTTATATTGGGATACCTAAACTGAATCCAAATTCAAGATGAGATGTAAATAATAACAGTTAGCGCGTGATCTCTCGGTAACAGGTGGGGACAACGCCTCTTATTGGTCAATTCGCCATTAAATTTAAAGCGGTCGCCTGGCGGAATAATGCGCGGGGCAGGGGCAGGGCAGGCAGAGTTGCATTCAGGCCACCGACCGTCGCGTGTATCACTGCGTGCTCGTGTTTTCGTATTCACCTTGCTTGGTTGTGGCTGTTGTTAAGTGTATTTGAGTAATTTGTTAAGTTTCTGTTTGTTATTGTTATTCTTCGTTATTATTTGTTTTGAACCAATCCTGAACATGTCCAGTACAGATACTGCTGACGAGGCAGTAGGCTACTCCCTTAGCCCTCCTAGAAAGCGATAAAAAAAGACATCTTAGTGTAGACATGAAAGACGTCATATTGAATACATTCAAGATAGAGCGGAAGGAAGACGAAACATCAACTAACCCGAACATAGCTCTGAAAGTGTCAGATAAAATTGGGGTATGCCAAGCGACAGTGTACAATGTTTTGAACGAACATAAGAAAAAGCATGCCTTTTCCAAGCCAATGACGAGTAAAAATCGCAAAAGTATCATAAGATCGTTGGATGACGCTGACAAGCATGCGATTTGGAGGAAAGCGCACGTGTTCTTCTTCAGAAACAAAATACCGACAGTTGATAAAGTACTACGGGAGGTTAACGAGGATGCTATGTTACCAAATTTCAAACATTCGGCTATTCATAAACTTTTGAAGCATCTCAATTTCGAATGGAAGAAACGAGGTCGTAACAGCTTACTTATGGATAGAGAAGAAACTGTTCTGTGGAGGAGAGAGTACCTGACCAAAATTAAATCATTCAGGGATCAGCACAGGAAGATCTATTACCTGGACGAAACCTGGATTAACGCTGGGCACACTACTCCGAAGGTATGGGTTGACAAAACTGTGACTTCATCCAGAAGGGCATATCTAGACGAACTGTCGACCGGATTGAAAAATTCAGCAGGTAAATAGATCGAAGTAGTTCACGGTATCAATTTTTGCGCACAATATCTCTCTATCTTCGTACCTACAAGACGTGCATATGTACTTAGCGGATTTTATCTTTCTAGGCAAAGGAAAAAGGCTCATTATTTGCTACATTGGGGGTGTAGATGGCTTCGTAGATGACGACTTATGGTGTTTTGAGTAAAAAAATACCACCGACTACCATGAAGAGATGAATGGGGAAGCATTCGAAAAGTGGCTTTCAGGCATTTTACCACGTCTCGAAGACAATTCTGTGGTTGTTTTGGATAATGCTCCCTATCATTCTCGCAAAATAGAAAAAATCCCAACTTCAGCTTCTAGGAAATCAGACATTCAGAGCTGGTCACACCAGAAAGATGAGAGAGATTTTGAATCCATCATCATAAACATTAATGACGATAGCTCTTCAAGTGAGTCTGAGTAAGTTTCGCGTTTTTGTTTTGTCACAGAGTACATATTATGGGAATCCTAGTTACAGTGAAATATTAACTTACAGATAAACTACAGACAATGCAAGTCCGAAGTGCACCTTCAAAATCTATTTTCAATTGATTGAACAGCCTTATATTTATTCCATGTACAAAAGTGTCATCTCTACCCCTCGTTGACTATGCATTCATTGTGCATAGTGAGCAGCTGGTTACCTTTGGTATGTATTTCTCCATGTTGTCTAGTTTGAAAAATCTGTAGAAAAACTTAGCACCCCTTCAAGAATAAAAATTTGAATTTTTTAACTATAACTACTTCACTATATTAGATAATTTCGTTAAATACTGTCATCTTTGTTCTACAAGACGTTGGTGGTAGTCCATCATTCGGAGGTAGCTCTGAATGCGGCCCTGTATGCCTTCCTTGCTTTTGGCAATCACGCATCCATTATATCTTGGGTGTAAATACACTGTAGTCACTTTAGTCACTCAATAATCAAATCCAAGCGAATAACCAAAATTTCTGTGTGATGTACCGCTGTTATAATATGGTTTAAGATGACACACGCGTTGATGACGTCAGTTACTTGAATCGCTTGAACGCTTTGGTTTTAACCGCGGTTTTGTTGCAAGTTGTTTATTTTAGAAAAGCGCATGTATAATTTCTATCATTTTTATTATCACTTAATAATCGGTGCTTTTTCGTTTACAACAGTATATGGAAAGTTTAAAAAAGAAACCTTTCATAATATCAATGGGCGACATTTTTTTTCAGAAAATAATTTTCAATGAAGGAACCATGGCTTTGTAGCTATGATAACTTTCAATTCTCTAAACTTTTCCGCATGTCAAAGAAAACATTTATTGATTTAGCAGAAATGATAGGAAAAAGCGATGAAAGCAGGTATTAGTAAAACAGTATACAGGTGGACATTACGCAGTGAGTTTATATGGCCATATTTTAATATTCTTGTAGGATATAGATTTAAAGTATTCCCAACAACAGTAATGAGTATAACTAATAAGGTGCTCTACTTTATGCTACAACTGAAGTCAGCCTGTATCTAGTTTCCCAAAAATGAAGTTGAAGTTCAACAAACATATCCTATACCCGCACCTTGTCACATTTCAAATAATAACCAGAAATATAAAACTACTCTTGAGTTAGGTAAATACCACAATTTTGCGGTGATAACTATGACATATAACAGCTGATTCGTGACGTCACGGATCTTATAACCAAACTGATAACCACACTCGCTTGAACGGATCGGTAAATACCAATCCAACATGGCAAATACCATTTTCATTTGGTTATTCGCTTGAATTTGATTAATCTTTATAGTTGACATGCTTTCCACAAGATGTCAGCTATCAAAACTTGAAATATTTATAACTTTGAAAAAAATTAAACTTGACCTTCCATATAAAATAAAGCACATGTAATGGATTTAAACATATTGATGAACTTTTAATGACATGTTAATTAGACCACCATCAGTTTCGACAAAAAATAAAAATTCAAAGCAGGAAGTCAAACATTCCAAAAGGATTGCTAGTCTGCGAATTCACATCGAAAGAGTCATATCAAGAATACGAGAATATGCCATCTTAGAGCCCCATGCTTGTGTTCACTCGAGTTTAATAAAATATTTGGATAACATTGTAATAGTAGCATATGCTTTGATAAATGTTCAGGATTATTTAATAAAGTGAAACCACAAGAGATGCTTTTAAATTTTATTATAAAAATGTGTTAATTGATTCAACATGGTATCAACAAATTTTTCATCATAATCACAGTATTTGTAAGTAGTTCTATTATTTTTCTCAAAATCAGGGCTTGCTACAACATAAATACCTTTTTTTTCTTTGTAAGGTGCATCTGCATTTGTATTTGATAGTAATATTTACTTTTTATATTGCCTTCAACATCTATAAAGTTATTAAACGTTTTATATCTGAATAAGGGCATTTTATTTCTACAACGTAATCTTCATTTATGGCATCTGGACTCGCACCTATCAATGGACAATCTCTTGAAAGAAAGAGTCCAGATTTTTAAAAGGTTTGGGAAGTTTCCCTGGAAAGTACCTTGAAGACAGCTTCTTCTAATTCAAGGCCCCTTTTCATGGCTTCCGTTTGGCACCCAATATATTTTCAACTAGTGTTTCATCCAAGGTAGCACAGTGTGCTGCTTCATATGCTTTTGATGCTGTTATCCGTGCGTATCTCATTTCAGACCATAGGCTACATCTAGACTGGTTCCTAGTTTCAACTTCGATTTGTTTAAGCAGATCTTCGTCCATTTGCTGTTTGCAATAATTCAAAAATATGTTTACGTCATTCACATTGTTAGTGGACATAAAACACATTTTTATTTGATGAAGGGAAACACAATCGTAACGTTGAGACAGAGATGGTACCTCATAGTGGTATTTTCAATTTTCCTGTTTTTTGCTTCAATAATACAGGGTGGCCCATAAGTCCTTTGAGCTGGAAAAAAAGGAATAAAACCAAACTAGTTACATTATGAAGAATTATTATATTTTGTTATCATCTTTATTGAATGGGAATTATGTTTTAAAAATCACATCGTCTAAATGCAATCCATTACGATCACGGCACTCATATAAACGACGTCTAAAATTGTCGATGACTGCGCGGCAAGTCAACACTGTAATGCTTGCCACTTCTCTTCGGATATTTTCTTTCAGGACATCAACTGATCGCGGAGTGGTGTCGTACACTTTACTCTTGAGGTAGCCCCATAAAAAGAAGTCCAAACTGTAACTTTAGGGCTGTGTAAGGGCTTCTGATGCTTACGCCTTGGATTTTCGGGGCTCCAATAACGGCAATTTTGTTTATTTACATGCCCGTTTACATGGAAGTGAGCCTCGTCCGAGAACAACACATTATTGAGCGAAGAAAATCGATTCAACATTTCATTCGCAAAGTTTAGTCTCTGAATAGCGTCATTATCTTTTAATTCCTGCACTAACTGAATTTTGTAAGCGTGCAGACGTAAATCTTTCCTTAAAATCCGCTGTAAAGATGTTCTGGGTACGTTTAGTGCACTGGAACGCTTACGAGTAGACTGGGTAGGATTTTGACGAACAGACTGTGCCACAATGTTGATGTTTTCTTCAATACGAGTTGTCCTTGGCCGACCCCACCGCTGTTTATCTAACGTCGAACCAGTCTCTTCGAACTTAGCAACCCAGTTCTTAATCGTTTGAGCTGTTGGACACTTTGTAAAATTGTGCAAATTGTGGTATTCTCAATATTTACGCCGCGCAATGGTTGCCGAATCATTATTTTGATAAAACGCGCGCACACAAAAAGCACGATCCGCTCCAGTGAAACACTCCATGGCGACTGAATTCCCAGACAATGAAGATACTGCCCCCACCTCGCCCGCGCCGCTCACGCTCACCCGTTAAATTTTATTCAAATTTGAAATTTCAAAGGACTTATGGACCACCCTGTATAATCATTTAAAAAATTATTATTTGAAAATATAGGTGTTCCCGCACCAAAATCTTCGGTGGTTATAAATTGTTTTGTACTTGAAGCTCCACTAAAACTGATCTCATCCAATAACAAACTTTGTCGGTTGGATATGGCTCTTCGCTCCTACGGTGTGCCCACATTAAAAATGCCACTGCATGTTTGCATCCTCCCTCAGATGCCATGACACTTTACTTCAACAACTTTTTTTTCCAATTCATCGATTACACACGATACATTATAGTTTTTTTCGCCTTTATTTTGTGCTCTGGGGTGACCTTGGCTTTTAAGTATCATGTACTGATACGTTTGAGCTGAACACAGCCCACAGCAGTATCTCCATAATGTTGACGGGCAGACCTGAAACAATACAAATGGGTAAAAGTTTTATTTTTGGAATAAAGGTTGAACAAAATTAATATTCATAAAAATGACTCCATTCAAACTGTAATAATAATAATAATAATAATAATAATAATAATAATAATAATAATGGGACCTCGGTTGGCCGCGTGGGTGAGAGTGTCGTGCTACTGAACAGTCGGCCGGCCGGGCTGCGAGTTCGAATCTCGCCTTCGCCATGGATGTTGTGACGTCGTGTGTTTGTCCACAATTAGATATATTCTATATACCAACCTAGTTTCTGGCTGCATGGCTTGGTCCTAAAGCCAAACAAAAAAATAATAATAATAATAATAATGCCTTTATTAGCTGCAGTGAGGCGAAGTTTAGACAGACGGCTACTCTTACACCCAACCCCACAACAGGAAAAAAAATACTTAAACACATAAACAAAATAATAACATACCAAAAAAAATACATTTCAAAAGAATGAAAACATTGACTGCACGAGACAAATGCAGATAGTATTGTGAGAGTTTTAAATTTGAAACAAAAATAGTAGAAAAAAGTCAAACAAAAAAAAAGCACATAAACACAAGAAAAACTGAACTAAATGGACTCCAGCAGCTGACTTTTCATTAATTTCTTAAAAGAAGCAACCTGTTTGGATCGATAGCCACTGTTGACTGCATTGTAATGCTTGACAGCATTATAGGTGTAACTTCTTTCAAAGACCGAGGTATTGTGAGGAGACATGTTAAAATTAGCATTAAATCTAACAGCTCTGGTAACAAAACTACCACGGTGATCTAATTTGCTAGCGAGGTAAGCAGGTCTGTTAAATAATAGAACTTTATGCGTGAAGATGCTTAAAAGATATAAAAATAACTTATCAATTCGCAACCAGTTGAGTTCTTTGATTTTATCTGAGACGCGACTAAACTTGCGCAATCCAAAAATAAACCTACAACAGCTGTTCATTTTCTGGAGTTTCCTTTTGTGGACGTAGTCTAAACATGGGTAATAAAGAACAAGAGAGTAAGAAATGACAGACAACACAAGACTTTCAGCGAGCTTTTTTCGGGTTTTAAAATTCAGGATGAATCGATTAGAATAGAGGAGTTTCAAACGCATATTTAAGTCAAGGGTAGCACCGAGATTCTTGGCGTAATCCACAAAAGGGATGAGTGTCTCATCCAAAAAAACACAAATCCTCTGCTTCATTTCACGGTAGGAGTTCTTCGAACAGTACAACATTGCAGTACTTTTATTAGGATTGATCTTCAAGCAGTATTTGTTACAGTAATCACTGATGTTAGCCAAATCTAAATAAACTTTAAAACAAACTTCATCAACCTTAGATGGATCGAAACCAAACACTAACTATCATCTGCATAAGTTTGCATACTACAGTGGACTAAAACAGTCTTGCAGATCGATCGTATAAATCAGATATAGTAAGGGACCTAATACTGAGCCCTGTGGAACTCCCGTAGGAACTGACTCAGAGGAAGAAATTCCCTGATCAGTTTTCACTGTTTGTTAACGATTTAACAAGTATGACTCAGAGAACCTTAGAACTATATCTGACATTCCATAATGAGATAACTTACTCAGTAGTATCTGGTGATTGACCATATCAAAGGCTTTCGACAAATCTAACAGTACCAAGACGGTGTTTATGTGATTATCTAAATTGTGAATGATGGAATCAATAAGATGTAATAAAGACGAAGTAGTGCTGTAACCAGCTCTGAAACCTGACTGATGTAGAGGAAATAAGTGATTTTGTTCGGAAAACTCCACTAGTTGTAAGTAGACAGCTCTTTCGAGTATTTTTGATAGAAAGCATAATAAGGTAATTGGCCTGGGATCCGAATATTGTTCTGGATGATTAGTTTTAGCTGTTGGAATAATAATACCATTTTTCCAACTGGCAGGAAAGTAATCTGTTTCGAGACAGACATTAATAATGTGAGTGATATGGTCTATGGTATCAGGCAAACATAACCAAACCATATTTAAAAGTTAGACCATCAGAGCCACATTCCGTAGACTTAATGTGAGTGATTATATTGACGACGTCTTGCTGAGTAAGGAGTTTAAAAGCAAACAGAGGTGCATCCGGTGTATGGCGTCTATCGCTATAAGAGTTAGAGACACTATCAATCAAATTTGGATCAGCTGCAGCTGTCTGGAAAATTGAAAGAAAATAATTATTTAAAATGTTAGGCTCAAGGAGACTGGGAGGTATCGCAACATGTTTCTGGGCTACCACATTCATCCCCCTCAGGAGTTTCCAAGCTTGACTAGAGTTAAGATTCCCGAAACGTGACATATATGCATTTTTCTCTCTTCTAAGCGATGCAAGGGCATAATTTCTCAAATCTTTGTAGCTGGCCCAATTCTGATCAGATCTGTTATCCGATAGACAGCGAATGCCTCGTCTCCGAGTTGAAAAATCATTTTCAAGTTAGGAGTGAGCCAGGGCGCAGCAGGTTTTGTGACACGTACTGTACGTAGCGGAGATAAATAGAGACTTTAATATCCACATCATTCACGAAATAAATGTCATTAAGCTGCATTGATGCAATCTGCGTCTTAAAACTTTGAATATCAATGCTATTAAGATTTCTATATGTTACAAATTTAGGATCTATTTTATTATAACAAACAGAAATATCACAGTATGTGAGCCGATGATCACTAATTGAGTCTGCATTGAGTGTCCCTGACCTTTTGACGATAGTATTGTCACTAACAACAATTGCATCAAGTAACACGTGTAGGCTCATCAATGACTTGAATGAATCAAAACAGCTGCTGAGGATATTGTTATGAGCAAGCAAGTCGGCGAGTGAAAAATGAGATAAGATTTTCTAAACACTGGATGGCTTGCGGTATAGAGCAATGTGGTGGCCTATATATAACAACAATTAACATACTGGAGCCGTGCAGTTTAAATTTATAGCATAACATTTCAAGAGGATTTATAAAGTCATCGAGCTCAACTGGGATAAGATTAGTGCTATCTAATTTAACATAGAGACCGATGCCACCCCCTCTGCTCCCACGGTCCTTACGGAAGAAATTATACCCAAGTATATTGACTACAGTGCTGTCGATACTGGAATGCAGCCATGTTTCAGTGACTGCTAGAACATCAAACTTATATAAGCCATTACATTTGATACCCATTTGGAAGGGTTGTGGAAAAATATGTACCTGATCCGCCATTTTTTTGCAGCCATATTGGATTTTCATTTTTTTATAGTGAACTCTATTCCAAAGTAAATACCATTTTGGGTTGGTATTTACCGATCCGTTCAAGTGAGTGTGGTTATCAGTTTGGTTATAAGATCCGTGACGTCACGAATCAGCTGTTATAAGTCACAAATCAAATTCAAGCGGATAACCAAATGGAAATGGTATTTACCATTTTGGGTTGGTATTTACCAATCCGTTCAAGCGAGTGTAGTTATCAGTTTGGTTATAAGATCCGTGACGTCACGAATCAGCTGTTATATGTCATATAATAGTTATCACCGCAAAATTGTGGTATTTACCCAACTCAAGAGTAGTTTTATATTTCTGGTTATTATTTGAAATGTGACAAGTTAGAATTTTGCCGGGTATTGGATATTGTTATCGTACTTCAGCTTCATTTTTGAGAAAATTGATACAGGCTGACTTCAGTTTTACCATAAAGTGGAGCACCTTATTAGTTATACTCATTATGGTTGTTGGGGACACTTTAAATGTTGTTCCTACGCTTAACAAAGTATCCTGTGTAGCCATATACCACAAGAATATTAAAATATGGCCATATAAACTCACTAGATGATATCCACCTGTATACGGTTTTGCTAATTTCTTTTTTCATCATTTCTGCTGAATCAATAAATGTTTTCTTTGACATGCGGAAAAATTTAGAGAATTGAAAGTTAACATAGCTACAAAGCCATGGTTCCATCATTAAAAAAAACCTGAAAAAAACATTTCTCTCATGAATACTATGAAAGGTTTCTTATTTAAACTTTCCATACACCGTTGTAGACAAAAAAGCACCGATTATTAAGTAATAATAAAAATTATCAGAGATTATATACGCACTTTTCTAAAATAAACAACTGGCAACAAAACCGCGGTTAAAACCAACGCGTTCAAGCGATTCGTGTAACTGACGTCATCAACCCGTGTGTCATCTTGAACCATATTATAACCGATAACCGCGGCACATAACACAGAAATTTTGGTTATTCGCTTGGATTTGATGATAGTTGTAGTCACCGTTCTTGGCGTTTCAACGAAAGACTACCAGTATCCCTTTATACAGGGTGTTAATAAAGTATGTAGACAAACTTTAAGCATGGGATACTTAGCAGTGATGGGCGTTTACGCGTATTCATTAATCAAATTCAAGCGGATAACCAAATGGAAATGGTTTGGTTTGGTATTTACCAATCCGTTCAAGCGAGTGTAGTTATCAGTTTGGTTATAAGATCCGTGACGTCACGAATCAGCTGTTATATGTCATAGTTATCAAAATTGTGGTATTTACCCAACTCAGGAGTAGTTTTATATTTCTGGTTATTATTTGAAATGTGACAAGTTAGAATTTTGCCGGGTATTGGATATTGTTATTGTACTTCAGCTTCATTTTTGAGAAAAATGATACAGGCTGACTTCAGTTTTACCATATTTACCTTCTTAGTTATACTCATTACGGTTGTTGGGGACACTTTAAATGTAGTTCCTATGCTTAACAAAGTATCCTGTGTAGCCATATACCACAAGAATATTAAAATATGGCCATATAAACTCACTAGATGATATCCACCTGTATACGGTTTTGCTAATTTATTTTTTCATGATTTCTGCTGAATCAATAAATGTTTTCTTTGACATGCGGAAAAATTTAGAGAATTGAAAGTTATCATGGCTACAAAGCCATGGTTCCATCATTAAAAAAAAATCTGAAAAAAACATTTCTCCCATGAATATTATGAAAGGTTTCTTATTTAAACTTTCCATATACAGTTGTAGACGAAAAAG